CCAAGCGCCTGCGATTATGAGCTTATTACTTCAGAATATTAATTGGTGGACGAGAGTTATGCATCAGAGCAGTTAATCTAGTTCAACTAGAAATGTGTCCAGAGCACACTCAAGATCAAGTTTCATACTAATTATAACGAACCTTCAATAATATAAACTGGTACAACATAATAATTGGCAACAATGAATAGACTAGATATGCAAAACAACACAAATTAAAGAATACAGCCCAACAAATTGAAGAACGTACACCAACTTCTACAGTCTATTACTGCTATATCCTAATTCAATGGGGTGCTGAGGAAGGAAGCCAAGCGTTTGAACATGATTTTGGCATTTCCACGTTCAATATCAAAAATCTGGAAACAATGATCTTCTCCTTCAACTTCAAAGAGCTCCACCTTTCCTTTCCATCCGCTTTTCTTGATTGCATTGAAGTACCTGACTCCTCTTTCCCTCAGCTCATCTTTCTCAGCGACGCAAACAAGCAATCTTGAACATTGCAGGCTTGATAAACTGGGTGCGTCATTAGAAAATGGATTGATCAATGGGTTATCAAAACCTCCTGGTGCATTTGGATACGCGAATTCCCAAGCCTTGTAGAGTAAATTCTTGTCAACATCATCATCAGAACTTGGCTCTAAACTTATTGGCTTTGAACTCAGAAAGTAAGGATGAGAAAGCAAAACTCCGTGGATACTCATGCCACCTTGAAGGCTCTCACGGCTGGCTCTTAAGCTCAAATTATGTGCTATGTTTGCTCCTGAACTGTCGCCGCCGACAAAGACTCGATTGAAATCTGCATGGTTGAGAAGCCATGGCTCTTTTTTGTAGTTTTGATCATTGCTGGAGTGTGATGCAATCCACTGAAGAGCAGCCCATGAATCTTCATAAGCTGTGGGAATTGGGTTTTCAGGGGCTAGTCTATATTCAACTGATACAACGAGGACTTTGGCTTGAGACGCCAAGGTGTTGATGTAACGCTGGCTGAGGAAAGAGAAGGCAGACTCAATACAAAAGGCTCCACCGTGGAAATAGGCTAAAATGGGAAGCTTTTGGGTGGTGGTGGGGGGCTTTGGGAGGTAAATTCTGGCTGAGATGTCTGGAGAAATGGTTATATCCTTTGAGGAAACCCCAGTGGCTGGATCTTCTAATGCTGGTGGAACATATGGTGAATCAAGAAACCTCTCAACTGAACCATCTTTGTAGACCCTGAGAAAGGGAAGAAATTCAGATGACACTTCTTTCTTGCTAGACACCATTTCAATATTTTCAACAAAGAGTAGGCACAGTTTGGCTTGTAATATCGGTTGTACGAGTTAATACTTTTGTTGCATTTATCACGAATAGCATGGCCGTTTATATAGCCTCAACAATGAACCAAAATGGCGCTTTTTCTAAATTTAAAAGCATTTTCTAGCAAAGAAAGACAGCAGCTCCAGACTGGCTTGACTAAATAGACTTGGGCTAGAATGTCAATTTTGAGCTCTGGGCCAAGAAAAGGAAAGGAAATCCTAAATAATGGACAAAATATGTTTGATGTTGTCCTCACGCCATTGTTAGACATATTTAAATCCAAGTTGCTTATTAATTTGCAAGGGAGGAATACTTGTGAGTTGAATCTAAAGTCTACGGTTGCTATTCTTTGATAGATGACAATTATCTATTTTCATGATCATTAACGAGATTGCAGTAATTAATCTGCTGCCACATTATTTCAATTGAAGACTTTTACTTGATTGTTTTTCTGACCACGGTTTTCCAGTGTGTAGAAAATGAAAGGACTATAACTCGCTTGTCATGCACTCGATCGAGTGTAGATTTGGATTTGATGAAGTTTCAGTTAAGAGAAATGACTACAGGTAAGTTGAATTGAATTATTGGCCGGTTTCAGATGGTACTTCTCCATTGCATAGACACTTTTATTTTGATTTTACATGTATATATAGTTTGAAAAATTGTGGTAACCTAATATTGACGTTGCCCTCACGCCATCCTTACGTATATTTGAGAAGACGAAATAATTGAATTTTTTTTTTCAACTAGTAGAGAAAATACTTTTAAGTTGAGTCTGAATTCTATGATTCTTATTGTTTGAAAAGTTGACACTCCAAATTTCATGTGAATTAACAAGACTGCAGTCTGCCACCACATTATTTAAATTCAAGAGTTTCACTCGATTGTTTATCTGAAAGAAAAAAAAAAAAAGACACCCTGGTCATGTATTCCACTGTAAACCCAAGTCTCTTGCTGACTGAGTCAAAAATTAACCTTTGGATGTGATTGGATGTATATATATATAGAGACATACAGGGACATAAGCTAAATTGAGTAGATTTTGATATTCGGATGGCCCAACTCAAGAAAATGACTTTCAAGAATTTGAATTGAATTTTAACCAATTTCAATATGTATTCTGAAACAAACCCTCATGAATTTGGAATTCTTTATGTCCAGTCCAGTCCGGTGCCACCAAATACGAATAGGTGAGCCTTAGAAAATTATCTAAGCACGTCAATCAAATAAGATATCATTTTATTACTTGTCTTCGCGGTAAGAACAAGAAACTTCGCGCAGCCACAAAACAGTTACCAGTAGTGTGTTTTCAAGAATGGCTTGGGACGACCATGGTGGAAACGACGTGATGCTCTGGGTACTAACAAAATTCGTTGACCAATTCGATTAGGTAACCATTACAGCTCACTTAGCACGGCAATCAGCCAGTTTGAGATGGTCGCTTTTGTCTTCATGGTAAGAACCACACGACTTTCACGAGTGGCAGCCAACTGCCCCGCCCAATTTTTTACTCTCCTTTTCCACACCGTCTTTTCAAACGGAATGTCTCCTTTTTTTTTTTGGTTGCCCGCCCGGTATCCTAAGCTTTTGCCTCGACTAATCCGGATTCGACCCGTATCGCGCACCTGGCTATGATGGGAGAGTCTCCCAACAAGGGTGTCTGCATACACTAGGACTCGAACACAAGACCTGCTTAAGCGAATCCGAGCTGCTTACCACTCGGACCAACCCCTGTTGGTACGGAATGTCTCCTAATAAGGGTAAAAGCCACACACAAAAACAAAAAAATATATATATTTTTTTATACACTTTTACTATATAATTTTTTTTTACTAGTAAATTTAGATCACGTTATATAATATGAAATCAAATTTCAAATTACACGTACGTGACATATCTTCATAAATGTTAATATAAAAATTAATTACACTGTCAGTGCAAAAAATAAATAAATTCAAAAAGAACTTCTTGCTCTTTTTTTTTTTTTTTGGGAAATTTTAAGGGTACCAAGAATGAGTGGTCCGGAGCAGGCAATGTTGGGTTACATGGGCCTCAACTGACACAAGGTATTGAACCTAAAATTTTAGTGGGCTAAACTCGATTCACAAAGACTGATCCCAACTCTGGAGGGGCCCGATCTTGAAGCATATCTTGCGTGCTTAAAAAGAACGAGGGCTCCGGTTCCACAATACACATAGAATTGCAGTTTTAATATTTAAAGTTGAAAAGAAAAATTTTTTTGTTCTTGCGGTCATGCAGGACTCGATTTTCAGACGATTCACTCTAAATTGGATATACCATTAAATACCGAGTTCTAAAAAAAGATCCAAAATAATTTTGATGATTAGATGTTAGACTACAAAATTGGATATTATTTAATTTTTTGCGTATCAAAATGATCTCACAATTGCGAATTTATGGTACTCATATTAACCCAAAAAAAAAATCTTAATAGGTGTTTATACTTTGAGTTTTTTTTTTTTTTTTTTAACTAACGATAACATATTTATATATTGAACTTGAAAACACAAGATATCAGTTACAAAAGAGGACAGTTGTCCTATTATTCTCCTTCATGTATACTTTCTTTAAGCCACGAGAGAAAACTATATCAATTGAGGGTGACTCCTCCTTGCATCCCCTTTGGATTCTTTCAATGACAGCTTTGCAATCAGACTCCACCTCAATTCTTTGCCACCTTGCATTTTTTGGCCATAGCCAATCCCTGCCGGATTTGCATTTGCTCCTTCTAATTCAGCTTCACGCTTGCTGTTTTTTCTTATACCTCTAACTTCAATGAGGCTTCCATGTTTGTCTCTTGCTATCAATCCCAAACCTGCTCCAGCCAATGTTGCAGATACAGCCGCATCAGTGTTGATCATCACTTTTCCTTCATCTGGTGGTTGTACACCTGGTGACTTATTCCTGTCCTGTGCTTTTCATCATTGTCTAGTTGTTCTTCTTGAAACTCCAGCCACTCTTTTCTTTGCATGATCTAAGATTGACTTATGATTGCTTCATTTTCCCTCGAACTGCCATGCATTTCTGCCCTTCCATCTTATTTTAGTTGGGACTCCACCCTTTGTTCTACATCTTCCCTCGCTCCCTCCCACCCCCAACCCAAACTTATGAAAAGGTTATTGAATGAGTGGGGTTTGTTTGGATATCATCTTATTTGTTAAAAAAAAAAAAAAAGGACCAATCTCAAGGCAAACATCCAAGGGAAGAAACCATGAATTCTTTTGGAGAATGCCATGCAACGAGGTCTGATGAAGAAGGGTTTGGAGGGGTACATGGAGAAAATCATGAACTTTCCAAAAATGATGAAGAGAAGATTGTTCAAGCAAAAGTCCCTGAATGTGATACTAACCAAGGAAGTAAAGTGAAAGAGAAGGAAAAAGGTCGCCACCAGAAGGAGGCTACACGCTGAAAAAGAATCATTTCATGACTCTGTTGAAGTGTTGGTCAATTATCTGTTCTTTTATGCGTACTGACTACCACGTTCAACCACATCTGGCTAAGAATACTAGCATGTAGGATTTGATTCCGAAGCTTTTCTAAGATGACCTCAAGGATTCATTTGAAAAGCTTTGAATGCACCTTTTATTGATGTTCATTTTCCATTTCAACTTAGAAATGAGACCATTTTTGGCAATAAAGGGCTGGGTGGTGTTTATCTTTCATCTCTTTCATTTTAACTAGTATAGTTGCAGATTGGAACTCCAAATTGTCTACAGATATTTGACTTGTATTCTGATCTCAGTGTGAAAACAATCAAATTATACAGACATCAGGTCCAATATCAAACATAAGAGCGATGATAGGGAAAAGATGGCGGCATATTGAGATTGGGAAGCCAGTATCCAGTGCAATATGATAGTAGTAAGTGAGCTAATGATCCACAGACTAGACTTTGATTACAGTAGTGAGATTTATCACTAGTTTGCAATATAATAGACAAAAGGAACGCAACAAAGATCCAAAGATTTGAGATGTTAAATAAGGATCAAATCTGAACAGAAACCTGGGACAAATAGACGAGTAAAGAAACATAGTTCCAATGGGCATCTGTTTAGGCACAAAATGCTTTTGCTTAGCATTCTTCCCAGCAAACTAGAAGCTCAAAAAACCAAGTGCAAATTCAAGAATTGGCCCAAGAATCATTACGCAGTTCGAATTATAACAGGAAAAAAATAAAGAGTGAGAGCAAAATATTCAATACATGAGAAAAGAAGCCAGAACCTGCATCTGAATTTTTGCCTCCTTATCCTCTGGATTGAAAATATGAAAGGAATGGTCCTTTCCTTCCACTTCCAACAGTTCTATTTCACCTTTCCATCCACTTTCCTTCACAGCATCTACATAAAGAATTCCGCCATTTCTAAGAATGTCTTTCTCAGCCACATTGACCAACAACCTTGAACATCCTAGTCTAGCCAAACTAGGTGCACCATCAGCCAAAGGGTTTATCATTGGATTATCAATTCCTCTTTGAGCAGATGGATAAGCAAACATCCATATCTCAGTTGCCAAAGTCTCCACCCTGGGATTGCCACAACCCTTAGACGCTAAATTTGAGCTCCAAAAATATGGCTGAGTAAGAAATGCACCCAGGATCTTGACATCCCCGTATAAGCTTTCAGCACCAGCTCTCAAAACAACATTGTGCACTATATTTGCACCAGCACTATCCCCTCCTACATAGAGTTTATTGAAGTTTCCATGGCTAACTAGCCATGGTTCTCTTTCCATGCTCGAATTGTCAATGTGAGAAGCCACCCATTGAAGGGCAGCCCAACAGTCTTCATATGCTGCAGGCAAAGGGTGTTCTGGGGCAAGTCTATATTCGACTGAAACAGCTACTACTTTGGCTTGGGAGACTAGGAGGTTTATATGACGTTGATGGTCAAAGGAGAAGGCCGATTCAATGCAAAAGCCTCCGCCATGGATGTACACTAAAATTGGGAGCCTTTGGTTGGGATCAGTGATCTTTGGGAGGTATAGCCTAGCTGAGACTTCTGGTGAGATTGTGATGTCTTTGGAGGAAACACCTGTGATGGGATCTTCTGGTGATGGTGGAACATATTGTGAGCCAAAAAGTCTCTCTACTTTGCCATCTTTATAGACTCTGATTACTGGAAAGAGATCTGTGACAATATGACTAGAATTGGAAACCATGAGATTACAGTGTTATCTTATTCTTCAGGGGAATCAGGGGAAAGGGTGTCAACAATGGTACTTATTTCCATTAGTCCATATCAGTTACTACTGTATATTACTAATTAGTAGGAAGGAGATAGAGAATTGGACAAAGAGGTTCACATCAACGGTCCCAACTCCTAAGTTGAGGAACCGGCTCTTGTTTGATTCAATTAGCATCTTCTTTCTCCCTGTAATTGCCGAATCTTGGAAAACCGTTCTTAGCAGTATTATATGCTGATAAATTTGTCTCATAGATCAATGAATCTCGGAATTAAATAAACATCGAATGCAAGAGTTAAATTCTAGAAACGGCACATGAATAAAAAAAAAAAAAAAAGCAATGATCCTCTCAGTTATTATTAATAAAAAAGGAACGAACAAAAGCAAAACAACATCAGTTATTATTAATAAAAAAGGCTAAACGCTTTACAAGGCTCTTGGCTTTCTCAGACTCGAGGTGGAAGATGTGAAAGCAGTGATCCTCTCCTTCAATCTCAACCAGCTCCACTTGACCTTTCCAACCACTTTTCGTCAAAGTCTGAACATAAAGACCTGTTCTTTCTCTCAACTCATCCTTCTCAGAAGTGCACACAAATAACCTCGAACACCCTAGTTGGGATAAGCTAGGTGCATCATCAGCTAAGGGATTTATCATTGGATTGTCAAGTCCACCTGGAGGTGCTGGATAAACAAGCTTCCAAACTCTATACAGCATAGTTTCTTCAACATTTTCTGCCTTAATTTCTGGATCCCAGAAGAAAGGGTGAGACAGAAATCCACCCAAGATTTTCACATCCCCATCTAAGCTCTCAACCCCAGCTCTCATGGCTATGTTATGAACTATGTTGGCACCAGAACTGTCACCCCCTATATAAACTTCATCAAAGTTTCCATGGCTCAGCAGCCAATGTTCCTTATCCGTGTCGGAGTTGACAACAACATGGGAAGAGATCCACTGAAGGGCAGCCCAGCAATCTTCATAAGCTGCTGGTAGAGGGCATTCTGGAGCTAGTCTATACTCAACAGAAACAGCCAGTGCATTGGCCTCAGAGACTAGTAGGTTGAGATAACGATGATGGAGAATGGAAAAGGCTGATTCAGTACAGAAGCCTCCACAGTGGAAGTAGACTAAAATGGGGAACTTCTTGCTCGAGTCTTGGACATTTGGAAGGTAGAGTCTAGCTGAAAAGTCTGCTGAAATGGTGATGTCTTTCGATGATACACTAGTGGATGGATCTTTTGGTGATGGTGGAACGTATGGTGAACCAAAGAATCTCTCCACTCTGCCATCTTCGTATACCTTAAGGAGTGGAGAAAGATCAGTTGCAACCTCTTTTGAATCCGAAGCCATGGAAAGAACTGGAAATTGTCTCTCTTGTTTTACCAGTGCTTAGTTTAGATGGTGAAATAGAACTTAACATCATTGTTTTTTATAAAACTTCATTTATATTTACTTGGTGATACAGAAGTCGTCAGAAAGCGCGAAGAGATAATGTATTTTAATGTGGACAAGATATATAAGAAATTCTTTTCTGATGTGATTTTCCACTTCTGGTTGACCAATGTTTAGGCACGGATAATTGGTGGATACACGATCCATGCCCTTCTTTGACTTGTGCATGATTGTCAACAATAATTTAGCAGAAGCCAAAACTAGGAGAACAAGTCAAAAGAAAAAGAGGTACGCAAATCAGGAAAAACAGACACAGATATGTAATGTAAAGCATAAACCAAACTTAATCCCTGATGAAGGAAGCCAAACGGGTAATCAGACTCTTTGATTTCTCAGTCTCAGGGTTGAAGACCTCAAAACAATGATCTTCTCCATCAACATCGACAAGCTCCAGTTCTCCTTTCCAACCATTTTTCTTCAATGCCTCGACGTAAAGAAGATTGATTTCTCTGAACTGATCCTTCTGAGAAGTACAAACAAACAACCTGGAACAAGCGAGCCCGGATAATTTGGGTGCACCATCAGCTAATGGATTGATCATTGGATTATCAATCCCACCTGGCGCCAAGGGATAAGCAAACATAAAGACCTTGTAAGGCATGCTTTCTTCATTATTTTCTTTCTTGGTTGTTGAATCCCAAAAGTAAGGATGAGACAAAAATCCACCCAAGATTTTCACATCACCAACCAAGCTCTCAACTCCAGCTCGAATAGCCATGTTATGCGCTATATTTCCACCAGCACTGTTACCCCCCACATAAATCTTGTTAAAATCGCCATGTTTGACCAACCAAGGCTCTTTCTCAATGCAGGAGCCCTCAACAACATGTGAGGCCACCCATTGAAGGGCAGCCCAGCCATCTTCTAACGCTGCTGGTAAAGGGTGCTCAGGGGCCAGCCTATACTCCACAGAAACAGCAACAGCTCTGGCTTCAGATACTAATACGTTGACAAAACGATGGTGGAGAGAAGAGAAGGCTGATTCGACAACGAAGCGTCCACCATGGAAGAAGACTAAGATGGGGAGCTTGTGGTTGGGGTCAGAGATCTTAGGAAGGTACATTCTAGCTGAAATGCTTGGTGAAATAGTGATGTCTTTGGAAGAAACACCGGTGGTTGGATCATCTAGCGACGGTGGTACAAATGGCGAGCCAGAGAGTCTCTCCACCGTCCCATCTTTGTAGACTTTGATGGCCGGAGAAAGATCGACCATGACCCCTTTGGAATCTGAGTTAGCCATGGAGATTTGAAATTATCTTCTTCCTTTGTAGGTGTGTGAAAGTGTGGGCTTCACTTGGTGCATTGAAATGAGAACAAGTTGAATTAATAATTTAATACTCCATATATATAGGTGCACAGAAATGGAGAGGAAGAGAAATCGGTAAAGGCATTGAATATAGCTTAAAGATAAGAAACCGTCCGTTCCGTCCATTCTGGAATTGTAGCAACGCTTCTTTTTTTTTTTTGTGGTGTTGAAACATCAGAGTACAAGAAGGATAAGAAACTAATAATCAGATGATGGTTAATTTTACCATTGCAAAAGAGGTAATTGTGGACTGATAGATGTCCATAGGATGTTAGTTGCCTCGGACAATTATTGATGGATGGCTGCTGTTCCTTTGTTTTTTCTTCTACGGTGGTCCAACTTAGCGGCTTTTCTTGCCAGAGCTGTAAATTTTCTCGGACGATTATCTTCAATTGTCCGTATATGCATCTTCAATTGCTAGCTGTCTCAAATCCGTATATGCATCATAAAGAGAAACTTAAAAATCTTCTCTCTCTCTATTTTTTTGCTTATTAGCACTCCTGATGGACTGAATCACAAAATTTATCTTTTGGCTAAGTTCTATACACATATATATATATATATAGTAAATATTTTTTATACTGACAGTATATACACAGTCAGCGTTGAATAAATGACAATTATATAAAATTTGAATTTAAAATTCAATTTTTACACATATGTCATAAATCCAACAGTAATATTATATGCACTGTCAGTGTATATAAGATATATATATATATATATCATAATTTCTGGACAAGTAAGGGGTACTGTCAATTAGGCATGTAATACAATATAGAAAAACATTTCCAATACCAGAACTCTTTATTTTTATTTTTATTTTTTGAGTGTAAAACAGATACTACATTGATTGGAAAAAAAAAAATTTTTTAATTGAAGCACACACAGACCAAAATATATAGAGGGACAAAAACGTTTTACTATATGCATTACTTACTGTGAAGAAGATGGCATTTAGATATTCATGGCCACTGTTTAACTGTTGGAATCCTTGATGGAATCCTTTGTATTTATGGTTAAGGTTAGAATTTTCTGCTGACAAGAGTAAGAACGGCAACTTTGACTACGGGATTAGACTCCAATGACTAGTAACTACAACTTTTCTAGGCTTCTTTTGGCTGAAGTTCTAAAATGAGATTACGTCGGTGAACCGAAATGATTCATATGAAAATCAGATTGCTGGCTACCCCTTTGGCTGTTTTGAACTCCGCCAGTTGAAAGGTAGTTGGGCTCGAGACCTGTTAAATTGGTATCCATTGGAACATTAATGGCATATCTTGCTTACCAACAAACTTGGTAGAAGGGTTGGCAAGACTCCACCCTGAAACTTTTGGATAGTCATTATTTTACCCCCTTCAACCTTAAATATATCCGCTTTACCTCCCATGTAAACTGAATGCAACGATATTATTGTTCTTTTATTCATGAAATTATCTACAAGATAATATAATGGGTTAACTTGGTTGGGGGAATAAAAGTTTAGGAGCCAGATGGGTAATTTGCTGAATTCTGATTACCTGTTCCGTCTTAGACGGGGGCCATGGGGCACTGTGGTCATCTTTTTTTTTTTTTTTTTTGAAAAGTAAACCTCCATTCATTGCAAATCGACAAGAGCAGCATCCACAACAGAACAGACTTGGGGAAGTTTACAAACCAGACTCTACTTCCCTCAAGAGACAACGATACCTTTGACATGATGTGGGCGGGAACATTATCGGTCCTCCTCACATGACTGACCTTGACAGAATCAAAAGATCTTATGCCATGGATTAGGTTACCTATCAATGACAAATCAGGTTCCTTGCTGTTGATCCTTCGTACAATATTTAGAGCATCCCCTTCGAGTAAGAAGTGCGAGATGCCAAAGTCTCTTGCAAAAACTCCAAAGCTATGAGGAAAGCCGTGCATTCTACGTGTTCAGCATTGCGGGCTCCTTCGACCCTTGCAGCCTCTACTTGACCCAAGTGATTCCTCACCACCACACCAACACCAGCTGCTTCTTCATCGAAAGCTCCATCGACGTTAATTTTTAGACAACCCTCTTCTGGTGCTACCCATTTGGTGTGTTCCTTATAATGACGTGTTTCTCGCCTCTTATGGGCCTGCCAGTACTCTTGCAGGAAAGCCTCAGCGTAATAGGGCACTGTGGTCATCTTATCTTAGATCTTCTATTTGTGAAGTTCTTTTTCTTTTTTGGTAATATTTGTGAAGTTGGATGGAAGTTACTAAGAACGAGGTTTTGTAATTTGGTCAAACACAATA